GTAATCTAGGAAATTTTGTACTGCGTGAGTGAGGTTAAGAATGGCTAACTGATTGAACTTGTTCACAACATTAACAGTAATCATGATGAACTTAGTATTCCTGACTTTCTATTTCATGTTGTTTTCTACTGTAGACCTATTTGCAGGTTTTTACAGAGGAATTAGTTTAGGTGTTACTGGTTCACTTGCTACATCTGAAACGTATTTTGTTGTTATTGTTACTGAATCAACTAAGACATGGCTGGAGCACACTAATCCTAATCTAAGAGGCCATTTCTCTCACTTATTTGCTGGAGGAGTTAAGAGAGAAAATATTTTTTATGACTATTGTGTTTTCTTTCCAGAAAATCTGCATGACGCGGCGTAAAATTTATACTGGTTCTCAGCATGTTACTAGGATCTAGCTGCACAAATGGATTTTTGTATGTCCTGCATGCATTGTTGAGGAAATTGTTAACTGGTAGTTGTTCGGTTGGCTGGTGAGTAGGGGATTAATCGGCTAATCGGCAAGTTAATCGGCCATTTAATCAACTAATCAGACGATTTATCGGTTTATAGGCTACTCGGTGACCCTACGAGTAGGGATTAATCGGCAAGTTAACTGGTTAATCGGATGAATTCTTGAACAGGGCCTGCATGGAGTTCTCAAAAAGTTATTCCTTGTTATTTTGTAGTGCCACCAATACATTGGGTCTTTGTATATTAAAACCTTTCCGGTCTCTGTTTTGGCTCATGTAATACTTACCGATACGATTTACTTGTTCATCAGAATAATGTGTTGATTCCTTGACACATCATAAGCTTTTTTTCAAGCTCATTCCAGGAGATACACTTGCATCTTTTATCTATGTGATGTGCCTTGTGAAGTTCTGAAACAAGGAATGCATGACCAAGGCTCCAACAAATCATCAGCACTAAATGCTACAGAAGGAAATGATCTATGCCATCTGTTTTATCTAGAGAGATCATGGTGTGAAGGGACTCAATATAGGGTACTGGTACTGAGTGCTTGTTGCTATAACATATTTCTTCTGTTTTCTTATAGAGAAATAAATGAGTTCTTTCGTCCCAACAAAAGAAAACATATAGTATCTTCAAGGAAGCAGCATTTTGAGTCAACAAATTTTCCCCCCATGCCAAAATGGAATCCATGGTAGTCTAGCATACTCGAATACCGTGATACAAGTAGGAGTATCAAATACAAGAAATTTCTATTTTATGCGCACATTCTTGGAAGCATGAGTGTATGTTCACGGAGAAAACATGGTCAATTTTTGTGTAAAAAACTGATAATGTTCAATACATGTTTAGCATGGGCAGCCAGACTTCTGTTTGCTCCGCCAGACAAAACCTGGTAACAATGGGTTGGAAAGTGGACAAACAGGAAAAGAGAACTGAGAAGAAGTGCCAAGTGGTCTGCTTGGAGTTAGGGGAATTCAAAGTGCATTTGTGGTTATTGTTTCTGCATTATGCTTGTATTCACAAATTGTTCGGCAAAAATGGAAGCAACTGTGTAATGGTCAAAGCATATCATCAAGGACAAATAGCTAATCAGAATTACTTCTGTTTTTATTTGCATATGATGCCAATAGCTTTACTTGAAACACATCTTGAAGTTGAAGTGACATCTTGTTGTTTTGGGGTATTATGTGACTATTTTTTGTACAATGTGAAAGAAACTTAAATTACATGAGGCGAATGTATGTATAGGGGAAGCAAGTGTAAGGTGATGTTTTTGAAATGCAGTGATAATTGCATGGCACTGATTCTTGAAGTTACAATATGTTTTAATCAATGTCTAAATATACATGTTTGTTGAGCCTATAACTCTTCATAAAATATTGAAATTAATGCAGCTTGTGCAAAAATAACAGGTTGGTCTTGTTTCTACATATTTCTATTTCATTTCGTTCACTGGTGATTATTATTTTTGTACAGAATGCATATCTCATTATTATTAATGTTGAAATGGTAATGAAGATTCAGATATGCATACATGATTTTCCGGATGATTTTTTGTAGCCTACACCAGGAGTGCCCAAGAGCAAATAGGTTGGGGTAAAAGATACTATTTGTTTGACCACACTCATAACCTGCATGTGACATACGTGATGTAACTTAGTGATAATTTGACAAATGTCTCTTTGTGTAAGTTTGTTATATATCCCGTGGCAACGCACGGGCATTCGACTAGTAAAAATGAAAAATAAAATCATAGATTTGTAATAATAGTTCAATTTTAAAAAACGTTCATAGAATTCGAAAAAAGTTCATCAAATTTTGAAAAGAATACGAGTTTGAAAACCTAGTTCAACGATTCTGAAAAATAGTTCAAAATTTGAAAAACTTCATGGATTTTGAAGAAAAGTTCATCGATTTTGAAAAAAGTTCATCAAATTTGGAAAAACGTTCATCCAATTCGAAAATATGTCCATCCAATTCGGAAAAAGTTCATCAAATTTTGAAAAAAGTTCATAGAATTTGAAAAAAAGTTCATCGAATTTCACAAAAAGTTCATTGAATTGGAAAAAATTCATGGATTTTCAAAAAAAATCACAAATTTAAAGAAAATAGTTCACGAATTTTAAAAAACGGCGCAATAAAGAAAACAAAAAAGATGAAGGAAAAAGAAAAATAATAAAACCAAGTTGAAGAACGAAATAAAAATGAAAAATGAACTAAGTCAACAGTTGCGGGTGTATACCCTGGTGCTTAGCCCCGAGCGCTTGCAGCTAAAGGGTTGGGAGTTCGAATCCCTGTCGCAGCACTATTTTTTTGACCTTTCGAAAAACAAGAAGACTAAGAAGGAATAACATAGAATTGGCCAGACCAGTTTAAACTGTTGCAGGCGCCCGTTTGCAAATTGCACTGTAACAGGCGCCTGCAGCGCCAAATAGGAAACGACTTGGTTCGAATCCCACAACTTGCAAATATTTTTCTACCACGATCGTTTTTAGAGGAGGCTGTTGGGCCGTCCCACTAGGCGACTCACTAGCAGAGCATCCAATGTGTTTCTTCCCTCCCAAGCTGTTGATGCATCTTTCCGAGGCAGATCCATGGGACGAGCTCTCGATCGGCAAAAAACGTATTACTACCTGACTATTTACTTTTGTTTACTTTTTACAGACCACCGTTCTTACAGCTCTCGCCAAACGGAGTTTCTATCGAATGCGCGCTATTGCCGAGTTCAGGTCTTGGCAAAGGGATGGTGTGTCATGAGCCCGTCAAAAAGGTACTCGGCAAAACACCTTGGCACTCGATAAACACTGATTTTGCTCTAGTGCAAACTTCCACCTGGGATCCGGTCACGGTCAGTCAGACATCCCATGTGCGGCCTGGGCCTGTCCTGCTTAATTATCACCCCACAATTATTGCTCCTATATATACCCCACTAATTATTGCTCCTATATATCAGGCTATATATCCCATTAGGCTGGTCATAGTGGGGAGTAACTTAGAGTAGTAACATGCATACATTACTACTCTATGTTACTATCCTTAGACTAGCCACAATGGAGAGTAACATACACTATTAACATACACATATCCCTAGACTATGTTACTATCTCAATAGTGGGTAGTAACATAAGTGTGGTAACATGCAAAGCTTCATTTATTAGGTTATAGACTCATATTGCATTGGGACCTGTGATGTTATAGTAACTAGCTAGGTTACTAGTACTACATCTCTCCTCATTAACTCATTGCCACATAAGCAAATTTGCTGAGTTGGACTCGATGTTACTATCGAAGTTACTCCCACTGTGGCTAGTCTTATAGTGGAAAGTGTCATATGTGTAGTACTCCCTCCGGTCCTTTTTAGTTCGCATATAAGATTTGACTAAAGTCAAGCCTTGTAAAGTTTGACCAGCTTTGTAGAAAAAAGTGTCAACATTCATAATCTGAAATCAATACCACTAGATGTGTCATGACTTAAAGTTTCATATTATATAACTTGAGCATGGCAGATGTTGATATTTTTTTATATAAATACGGTCAAACTTTCTGAAGTTTGACTTCCGAGAATTCTAATATGCAGAGTAAAAAGGACCGGAGGGAGTAACATACACATGCTCATTTATTGTTTTGTAGACTCATTTTACATTGGGAAACGCTATGTGATGGTAACATATTAGGTTACTCTATTTGCTTCTCTCCTCATTAACTATTTGCCACATCAACATTTTTGCTTATGTGGCATCTATGTTACTACGTATGTTGGGAGTAACTTAGCTAGTAACATAGCGCACTTCAAGAAATTTTTGCTTATGTGACGTGTAGTTAATGAGAAGTGGTAACATATTATGTTACTGTAACATAGCGCTTTCCAAGGCAAGATTAGTCTACAAGCTAATAAAAGAAGTCATCTATGACACTACTACTATGTTATTTTGCACTATAAAGATAGTAACTTAGACTAGTGTCATGTATATAACACTAGTCTAACTTACTCCCCACTATGGCCAGCCTTACTCCCTCTGTTCCAAATTACTCATTGTGCTTTTAGTTTAAATTTGAACTAAAACCACGATGAGTAATTTGGAACGGAGGGAGTAGATCTCGCAAATCAGCTAGAACAAGTGGGCTGGTCGAGTTGTGATGGCTGAGTTGTTCAGGGAGCAGGCTGACGTCTACGATGCCGCCCGACTGGTCCATCTGCCCTCATCCTTCTTGAATGCACAATAACCAACACATCTACTCCAGCTCGGCGGTAGTAATGTCACCGCCAACTAAAAAATATCAGATACTTCCTCCGTCCGCGAATAAGTGTACTTCTAGCTTTTGTCTTAAGCCAAAGTTTTGAAATTTTGTCTTAAGTGTACTTCTATCCAGTAGTACTCATTTGATGCTACAAATGTGGGGGAAAAAAAACAATGACGAAAAGTCTCTGAGTGTGTGTGATTTATCTCTCTTTCTCTCTCTCTCTATATATATATCCACCTATCTATCCTTATTAGATCTCGTACATCAGCTAGAACAAGTAGGTTGGTGGAGATCTCATGGCTGAGTTGTTCAGCGAGCAGGCTGCCATCTACGCTGCGGCCCGGCCGGTCTACCCCAAGGATCTGTTTGCCAAGCTCGCGGCTCTCACCGATGGTCACCGTTTCGCCTGGGATGTTGGCACTGGCAGTGGTCAGGCCGCCATCGGTGTAAGCCCTCTGCATGCTCTGTCCTGAGTCGCCAGTGGCTATCATGTTCATGTCTAGCTTTGACAAACTATGGCCATGCATGCATATGTCGCAGGTCGCAGAGCACTACGACAAGGTTCTGGCGACGGACGCGAGCGCGGAGCAGCTGCGGCACGCCGTCCCACACCCCAAGGTCCGGTACCTCCACACCGCCGACACAACGCCAGAGGAGGAGCTCGTGGCCGCCGTCGGGGGTGAGGGCAGCGTCGACCTCATCACGGTGGCGCAGGCGGTACACTGGTTCGACCTCCCGGCGTTTTATGCCGTGGCTAACCGGGTCCTGCGGAAGCCCGGAGGGGTGATCGCAGTGTGGGGCTACAACTACCACGTGATCCCCGTGGAGGACTTGCTGTCGCGCTTCTTCCGCACCACCCTGCCGTACCGGGACCCCAGATCGTGGTACCTCATGGAAGGGTTCCGGAACCTGCCGTTCCCGTTCGCGGACGTCGGGCTCGGGAGGGAGGGCCAGCCGGCCGGCTTCGACATAGAGCAGGAGAAGTCGTTCGCGGGGCTCATCGGCATGCTTAGGTCCACCGGGGCGGTGGCGAGAGCCAGGCAGCAGGATGGCGTGGAGCTGCTGGACGAACACGTGATCAAGGAGCTGGAGGAAGAATGGGGAGGGCCGGAGCTTGTCCGAAAGGTGACGTACAAGGCCTTCCTGCTGACAGGAACCCCTCGTCCTGCTCCTTCTCCTCCTCCATCTGCAGGAGCGGGACTAGAGGAATGAGAGCAAGACCGTTGCATTGGTGTTTTCATGTGTCGCTTTGAATTCCTCTCCATATCGTGCCATGCGTGTTTCTTTCACTCTTGTTTTCGTAGTTTCTACCACTGGCCAAGTCGATCGTGTTTATACGTTTGTAGTGCACGAGTGAGTCAGTCTGTTTGTTTCCTTGATGAATAAAAGTAAAGTGAGAAAGGACATGTTTTTGAGCCCCAACAGTTTCAGTGCTCAATCTTTTTTATCTCCTTTTTTAAATAAGCGCATACTGTTTGATGCTGTGTTTTTCCTCTCGTCGATCACCAGCAATAGGCAATAATGCATCTAATGTACTCCCTCCGTTCCTAAATGTAGGTCTTTGTAGAGATTCCATTAGATGGACTACATACGAAGCAAAATGAATAAATCCACACTTAAAATGCATCTATATACATCCGTATGTAGTTGATAGTGAAATCTTTACAAAGACTTATATTTAAGAATGGAGGGAGTATTCAGAAAGCCTCCATCTATTGAGCACTGCTTTGTTCTCTCTTTATTGGTGCCCCCAACTGTTTCAATGCGAAACTTGCCTAACTAGTGATGCAAATGTAAGTGTACCTCGCTTCGATTGGCTTTTACCTATTTCAGGCAGACATGCTTGGTAGATAATTTCAATTATGATGTTGCTCCGTTTTGTAGATGAATCTTCTTGGAAGCAACAGGTTAAGTTGAGGAACGGTTTGGTTGACCGAGGCAGTCTACTGCCACGCAACCTGATATGTTCGGTGGATGCAGTTTTAACTTTCAGCTGTTCTTTCTCTGATGCACGTATCAGGTTGCTGATAGTATCCCCCAACGCACATATCAGGTTGTTGTTGCAAGAAATATTTCGAAGGTGGCACGTGCTGCAGTTTCAGCATCAATTGTACAAGAAAATACCAAGGTCAGGTCTAAATATACAGATCTGGCTCATTTTTATCGGATGGAGAGATGATGCCTTTTTGCATTGACTAATAAGCAACTACTCTGTGTAGGTCATGATGACAAGCAAGCAAGGTTGTCAGTTGCTTAAGCCGCAAATACCAGAAGATGCAGTAGCTACAGTTGCTTGCTGACTTGAAAACGCTTCAGGATTTAGGTTAACTGACTTTAAAATGTTTCAGAATTTAGGTGGCAAGTGGGGGCGATGAATTGACATGCAACAAGTTCACGGAGTAATGGTTAAAGTTGAGACACTTATGGGACGGAGGGAGTATTTTCACACGATAAAGGGTTTCCCCCCGCTTTATATTATAAAGCGAACACCCGATACATCCAGCTCGCTGGGGCCGCAGCACAGAAAAGCCCAAAAGAAAAAGAAGAAGAAAAAAGAGAAATAAATGCCGACACCGGCAGATCAACGAAGAAAGTAAGACCGGCAACCGTTGCACCCTCCGAAGAAGTACCACCACACTCCGAGCATCCCGAAGCGCCGTGCACCAAGCAACACCTTCAAGAAGGAATGCGACGATGCCACCGCTGTTGCCCGAACAAGTTCTAGGGTTTCCCCGGTACGCGAGGGATAGTGGGGAAGAGATATACCCGATGCCCCTCAGGAAGGTCCGATGGCACCCGCAGGCCTCATCGCATCGGTGCCGACAGGCCGACAGGGATTTCTCCCGATCCACAACCACCACCATCACTCCAAACACCTCGAAATGCACCACCCACGCAGCCGCCCACCAGCATGTGCCACCACGGTTACCGGACCACCCTCGCCGTCTCTCTAGAGCTGCCAACACGAGGCCTGGAGAGGGAAAGGAGACAACGGCCATGAGAGCGGGCACTACTCGACCGGTGGAAGGGAACAACCTCCATCGCAAGAGCGAAGCCGGCCGGACGCGCGACGCGGACTTGTCGGGCCCTACGGCCCGGTCGGGCCCATGTGGGCCCGGACAGTCCGTGTCACCGCGCTGCAACACGCCGACCAACCAAGTACTCGCCGCCCATAGACCACCGCCTCGCCACAGCCACCAGGAAGCGACACCATCGAGCGCCGTGCCACCGGCCCGACCCAACCCAGACGAGGCCCAAATGGGCCCAGATCTGGGCTCGATGGGGGCCGCCAGCCAACAGCACCATCGAGCCGCCCCACGACCAACGGTCGTGCCGCCGCGTCGAGGGCCACCGTGGCATGCGGCATCGCCGCCGCCTTGCCACACCGCGCCGGCCACCACCGCCCGAGCTGGAGGGTCAGCGCGCGGGGAAGGACAGGCCCACCGCCGCCAGCAGCAGCACGCGGGCAAGGCCTGGTGTAATATCCCAAATTTTCAATTTGGAATGTTATAGAATAGATCATCTTTCCATATAATATTTTATTGCATTTTGGCTTGATCCTAGAAATTTCACGCAACTCAAGGACCCACGAAGAGAGTTGGAGATTTCGTTATTTTCATATTTGAGTTTTCTCAAATTTTGAAAATAGGATCATTTGATTTTAATTATTTTTATCTTCGAATATTTCTTATACAAAAATAAAAGAGAGGGAATAAAATGACTTTCCCAAAATAAAGAAATATTGAGGATTTAATAATAAAATCGAATAAGATTTTATTTGGGAATTTATCGCTATATTTATTTGAATTTAGGAAAAATGCGTATTTTTTAAAATTGCATTTAGGGCCAAAATAAATGTTCATCTTGTCCGGCTTATTTTTAGAGGACGGTGAAAATTTATTTCGGGATTTTTGGTGTCCGCTAATATTTTTTTTCTTTCTTTTTCTGCACGCTGTAATTTTTTTTAAAGAAACCGACTTCGGGCCGTACCCGAGCGGGACTCTTCGGGCCGGCCCTTATAAGCCGCCACCCCGGCGCCCCAGCCCACCCAGCCGCCCCGCCCAAAACCCTAGCCGTGCCGCCGCCGCCGCCGCTCGTGTTGCCGCCGACGTCGCCTGTGCTCGTGTCGCCGCCGCCCCGCGCCGCCGTCGCCGGAGCCGCCGACTCCACCGCTGCCTCGCCATCTCGTCGGACCTCGCCGAAGGTAGCCGCCGCCGGCGGCGGTTTTCTAAGAAAAACCGCCCGTTTTTTTTTATAAAAACCGCGATGTATTTTTTATATATATATCGGTTTAGTATTTTTCGGTTTATTTATTTCGCGGACGTTCGTCCGTACGTTCGTTTTAACGAACGGTTTTCGTTGGTTAGCCGCAGACATCGAACGTTCATTTGTTAGCCTATTCGTCCGTTTTTCTTTTTCTCGGATTTTCTGTGATTATTTTCGATCGCGATTTCTGATCCGAATTTCGTTCTAGTATAATTTTTTGCTTGTTTATCGAAATCAGGCGATTCAAGCGCCTAGAGTTTCTTCTCGAAACCCTCTTTCTGTTTAACCAACTCAAACAAGTTTTTGCTACTGTAAAATTTGACTTAGGTCCATATTAGTAAACGAAGCTTGTTTCTTTCGCCGTTTGACTTTCGTTGATTCGTTTGATTTGATTCTTTTTGCAAACCAGAGTTCTTAAGTTAAACTTTCTGGTTAGATCTTTCCTTTGAGTTTCTACCCGTGCATTAGATAAGTGCTTATTGTATGCTTGTTTGTTTGCGATAGAGTATCCGGAGTGCGCCGCTTGCTACTACGAGTCTCTAGGTTTCACGGATCATCAGCAAGACAAGTAACACTTTGACCATACATTTTTACTACCCAATTTTATTGCGTTAGGTCAATCGTCAAACAATTGCATGATTAGGATCTGATTAATATGTGGGTTTTGGGAAGTAGATGAGGTAGAACCTATTACCTCATTTATTATCAAACCCTTGGAAGTTACTTCTACGTTGCTTATATCGCTATGCTATGCTAGTAGACGTGGATTGGGTGAGTGTATCCATGATAGATGTGAGATTGTTTAAATTATTGGTTTACTTAAGGTGGCAACTTAAATTCACATCTGGGTGGATTGAGGCACCTGGGGAACCCAGTGTTGCCTGTATTTTTGGAAATCCTGGGGTACCGTGTGATTCTCCTATTGACCGCCACCCAGGCTCAAAGGGATCATGAGATTATTCATGCTAGAAACTTCCGTGTGCAGCCACAAGCTACTATAGGCTCTACCATAGTTTATTAAGTCGTGTGAACTCTTAAAGTGGTAGACTAGCAGATGTAGGGGGAAGTAGGTGTAACTGTCTACCCATCGTAAGGTGCAAACGCTTCTTAAAGACTACGTCTCGGTCATCCGTTTCTCAAACACCATGTTATGCGAGAATTCCAACGGAGGAGATCGAGTCTTGCGGGAAAAAATGCGCAAACCTCTGCAGAGTGTATAAACGAATCATGGTTAGCCGTGTCCCCGGTTATGGACGTTTTTGAGTATCTAGTACCTGGATTATCATGTGAATCTCATCATGTTACTTTAATTTAATTTGTTGGGTTTTAATAATGATGCTTAATTGGGATTGAGTTGGGTGAACCTTCTCAATGTTTAACAACCACCATGATAGTTAAATAAAATTTATTCCTTTGTTGTAGGGGAAAATTGGCTTTATGCAAAACTGTAATCATAGAGCTTTCCACCAGCCATATATGCATGTAGTGATAGCATTATTCTATTCATTATTCTCTATGTGTTACATTGCCAGCATATTCCATGTGCTGACCCATTTTCGGGCTGCAACGTTCATGTTGCAGACTTTTCAGACCGCGAGTAAGGTGCCTTAGGTCGTGGTCTTATACTCAGTGATGCCGTTGGTGTTGATGGACTCGCTTATCTTCCAAGCCTTCTGCTGTTATCGTTATTAGATGACCTTAAGCCATATTTATTGTAATAAGTTCTCTTTTGAGACATTCGATGCAATAAGTGTGTGATTGCTACTCTGTTATAAATCCTTCAAGTACTGTGCGTGTCAGCATTACCGATATAGGGATGACACTGATACACAGAGATCAGACTGTTTGAGGTCTGGTCGCTACAAGATGGTATCAGAGCACACGCTGACTGTAGGACACGATCACTAAGCTAAAAGCCCTAGATCACTACTCTCTCTTCTCATTTC